ATAGCAGAAGTAGACGGAAAGTGAAATTATCCACTTTGTCTTTGCACTTCAAATAATCAGTCAAATGTTTGATTGTTATCGGATCTCTTTGAAGAGAAACTTTATCCGAAAGTGAATAAAGCTTAAGGACACCTTTTTTAACTTTAGGGTAAGAGACAGAAATATTAATTGTTCTGCCATCAAGGTTAGCAAAGAATTGAATAGCTGCTTGCACAGTATTTGCTTTGTAACCTTGAACATTAACCAGAAGGTAAGAGATGTAATATTCAATAGCTAAAGGATTATCAATGGTAAGATCGAACACATTGATAAACCAAAGAAAACCACCATAAATCCTGTTGTAGGTTCTGAAGGTTTTTTCACCTATTGAAGAGAGAATACTGATTTCTCTCATTGTTTGAATAACTTGCCATGCACTTGAACAACCAGGAAATTCGAATTCTCGAACTTGTCTTGCAACTCTGATAAGGGCGTTATTATAAGCATCTTTCTCGAAACAGTTATCATTCTTTCTGATATCTTTAGCAAGACTGGAAACCATATCGAAGAGGGCCAATCTGGAACCACAAATGTCGCTTTGGCTCCTGACTTGATGCAGTGAACTAGAGCTTGAGATATCAGACCCAGAGGAGGCGCACAATAGCTCATCAGATTTTGTTCCCATGGGTTCAGAAATGTGTCGTTCTCTATCCATGAATTGAATTGAATTGTTGTGGTTGATTCCAATGTTGCGAATCTGTCCACGTGGTGTTCTCCAAATTCTGTCTGAACTAGATTCAATAGTTCTTGAGAGGATTTCCATTCTGTTAGACGACTCAGTCTGTCCGCCAAAATGTTTTCCTTTGAGGGAATATAAATCACTTTGGAAATCCACCATTTTCTTCTCATTAGAATTTTGTAGAGATCTCTGGCTATTTGTGAGAGTTCTTCGATGACTCCGTAACCTCTCCTTATATAAGATATTGCTGTTACATTGTCGCCTCTTATCTCGAATGCTTGACCAGGACCATAAAGGTTTAATTGATCTGCTTGTGTGAAGAAAATGAGGAGTGTTTTTAACTCTTTGACATTGATGTGCTCTGAGGAATTGAATCTTCCAATTGTAATGGTTGATTCTGCGTGAATTCCATAACCTGTTGGGCAAGCATCTGAATTCACTCGAATCGGGTTCATTGAGTTCAGTTCGAATGGAACTCCACTGTTTTCCTGAATCAGAGTTTTCAATATCTTGAGGTCTTTGGTTGCACCTCTGAATATTCTCATCGATGCGTGCCAGGATTTGTCGTTTACTACTTTCACCATATCCTTTCGAAGACGAGCCAGAAATGGTGCAAAATAATGGTTTGATAGGGTTAGAAATTCCATCTTCCCAAGAAACTGAGCCACTTTCTTGCAAGCTACATATCTGTTCAGTTGGTTCGCTGACAAGAAGTCTTGGATCAGTTTTATCGCAGTGGCTTGTTTGTTGAGTGGAATTTTTACCAAACCTGATATTAAATCCAATTCCAGACCCAGAAATTCTATGCATTGACAAGGTGTCAACACACTTTTCTCCTTCTGTATAATCCATCCTAATGTTTCTAGGTCTTTCAAGATTATCTCTGTGTGTTGTTGGGTAGTTTCCTTGTGGTTGCTTAGAATCAATATATCGTCGATGTAAATGAATACCAAGATGCCCTGCCTTCTCCACTTGGTCACTAGTTCCTTCATTATCTTGGTGAAGTTTCTGGGAGCTTGACTTAGACCAAATGGAAGGCATTTGAATTGGTATACAAGGCTCTTGTACTTGAATCCCAGAAGGTGTCGATGACTCTCTCTGATGGGAACATGAAAATAGCCTTTCTTCAGGTCTATCTTTGTTGCCCACATTCCTTTCTGAACAAACTTCAAACATTTTTGAATGTTGTCCATCTTGAACGAAGTATCCTTGATCCCCAAGTTTACTTTCCTGAGATCCAGAATAAAACGAAACTGATCTGAGCCCTTCTTGGGGACAATGTTTATTGGATTGAGTACCGTAGATTTGTTTCCAAGTTCGATGACATTGGAACTCAACATCTCTTGGATTTCTTGATCCATCCAAGAGGTCTCCTTTGGAGAGAAATTCTTCCCCCGCTTGAATTCTTTCCAAAGGGTGGGATTTGAGTAGATTGGAACTCCATTCCGAATCCAATCCACTATGAATGGGTTGAAGTTGTAACTCTCCCACTGAGTTACAAACTTGCCAAGACGACAACCCACCAAGTCAGAGGTCTTTGCTGAAGGATCCTCCACCGTTGTTGTTGTTGTACTTTGGTTTTGAGTCTCCTGATTTTTGAAAATTGGAGTTACTCTTGTAAGACTTAGAGTAGCTGTTGTGTTGAGAAGTGTAGGGTTTGTTCAACTTCTCTTTCATTTTGTTGGGTTTTTGAATCTTTCCAACAAAAGCAGTCTTGATAACAGCTT